GGGTTTCCCTGCATGTGAACATGGGTGATGTGAACATGTGTTCTGCTTCTGCTGCAGCCACCAGGGGAACCGCCTCCATCGTGTCGGAGGTCATGATGTACGTGTCCATCATCGGCCTGCAGGTCTGGCTCCTCATCGAGATGATCTACTGCTACAGGAAGATCGCGGCGGCCGGCGAGGAGGCGCTTCGAGAGGCGGCGTGAGTGGTGTCTGCTTCTGTAGAGCAGAGGGGGGGGGCAGAAAAAGTTCAGAAACAGACACAAAATCACCTAAATGTTGAGCGAAGGATCAGAAAAAGGGACAATCTGATTAAACAAATTACAAAAAATGGTTGAAAAAAAGGCTAAATATACGGAATCTGATCAGAAACGGACTGAAACCTTCAATGATTAGATAGAAAAGGACCAAAATACTGAGCAAGGGATCAGAAAAAGAGGCCAACTGGCCAGAAAATGACAAAAGATGACACAAGATTGCTAAAAAAACAAACAAAAGACCAGAAATGGTGCAGACAGAGACAAAACACTTAAAGAACAGGCACAAAATGACCAATAAAACACAAAACTGAAAATAAATCTCCTTTAAAGCCAGTTAGTCCACAATAGCAGAGCAGTTAAGCACTCAAAGTTACACACAAAACTGGTTAAAAAAGTTTCACTCAGAACAGGTTAACACACACAGTTACACACTGTTTGGTTTCTCTTCCCTGTCCCTCTGATCTTTGGTTTTCAGCCTCAGTTCAACTGTCCAGTGTTTTTTTTATGTTGTGTCTTGATGTGCGTTCATTGTGTCTTTGTGTGCGTTCATTGTGTCCTTGTGTGCCTTCATCATGTCTTTGTGTCGACCTGTTTTCATCCCATCAGTCAAAACAAAAACCTCCCTCCTGTAAGTCCCCATTTGTCACTTCCTGTTTCATTTCACTGAGAAGCTGCTGGTTTCTCGGCTCTGCTGCAGCCTAACGGGCTCTTCTCCTCCCTCCAGAAATGCTGAATACTTAGCGATCGCCTCCGAGAGTAAAGACAACTGTGCAGGTGTGCAGGTCGGAGAATAACACAGGTACGGAGGCTCCGCCCACTCACACCTCCCACCAGTAAGGGGTATCAGGGAGCTCTGCACATCACAGCACCACTCTGGTTCCCCACATTACACCCCAGTTGAAGGAATGCAAAGAGTTATGGGGAACTACATCCCTGTGGGTCAAAGAACATACAAATTTATGGGGAACCGCATCCCTTTGGGTCAGAGATTTATTGGTAATGGCATCCCTTTGGGTCAGAGAACCCAGATTTATGGGGAACCGCATCCCTTGGGGTCAGAGAACGTACAAATTTATGGGGAACCGCATCCCTTTGGGTCAGAGATTTATTGGTAATGGCATCCCTTTGGGTCAGAGAACCCAGATTTATGAGGAACCGCATCTCTGTGAGTCAGAGAACGTACAGATTTATGGGGAACCGCATCCCTGGGGGTCAGAGAACATGCAGATTTATGGAGAACCGCATCCTTGGGGGTTAGAGAACGTACAGATTTATGGGGAACTGCATCCCTTTGGGTCAGAGACTTATGGGAAACCACATTCCTTTGGGTCAGAGAACGTACAGATTTATGGGGAACCACAACCCTTTGGGTCAGAGAACGTACAGATTTATGGGGAACTGCATCCCTTTGGGTCAGAGACTTATGGGGAACCGCATCCTTGTGGGTCAGAGAACGTACAGATTTATGGGGAACCCCATCCCTGGGGGTCATAGAACGTACTGATTTATGGAGAACCGCATCCCTTTGGGTCAGAGAACATACAAATTTATGGGGAACCGCATCCCTTTGGGTCAGAGATTTATAGGGAACCACATCCTTTTGGGTCAGAGGACCCAGATTTATGGGGAACCACATTCTTTTGGGTCAGAGAACCCAGATTTATGGGGAACCGCATCCCTGTGGGTCAGAGAACATACAGATTTATGGGGAACTTCACTTATGAAACACAGAAACTGAGATTCTGATGTTTTATCACATAAAATAAAACCAACAAAGAAAAAACCACCATCTGTGTTCTGACTTGGGGGTTCCTCTCTCTGTGGTCAGGCCCCCCCCTGGACCGTAACCACCCGTCCAGCCGCCGACCTGCATGCCCACCTGGACCAGGTCCACCAGCTCCTCCACCCCCCCGAGTGGACGCCCCCCCACAGAGAGCATGGATCCAGCAGCCTGTACATAACCTCCTGCTCGTCAAAGCATGTCCAGCACTTATTTAAGAACCCATTATGCATTAATGAGCCACTTTGTTGACAGCATTTAGCAGCACTGGCGTGTTTGTAGTCACAGCTGGAGTCTGAGGGGGCTCTGAGAGGTTGATCCTACAGAAAGCTTTTTACTTCCCCCCCCCCCCACCAATCCCAAGCTGATGAACTGTTTCCTCTAATGTAGAATGCGATGGAGCCTGATAGACCATGTTTCCAGTTTAACTGCTACTTGTACATACAGTGACATGTAAAGAAGTATTAATAAAAATGGAGAAAACCTGTCGGACAGTCTTCTGTCACAAAGCAAAGAAGCTGTTCTCTGTGTCAGAAACCCAAAGATGAGAGAAAATGGTGCCTGACATTAAAGCATACTCGAATGTTTAATGCAGCGCATTTTTAAAAATGAATTCACGTTTAAGGTAAATCCAATAAATTAAAAAAAACGCTTGAGGGATCATATGTTTCTTTATTTATGGGAGCAGTGAGTCAAACCTGAGAGGGGTTTGAAATACAGACTTTTCACACAAAGCAGCAGCAGCAGAACCAAAAAGCTGCTCCAACTTCCAGTTTGACGACAGTTTCCCCCCAAAAAGTCAAACTTTGGGGACTCATTTGGACCCAGAAGCTGGAACCAGGAAGACGAACCCCCCCCCAAAACCTCTGGATCTGGGACTCTGAGCACCAGAAGAGTCTCAGGATCCAACATGGCCGCCCTCAGCTACCCTCAGGATCCAACATGGCCGCCCTTTGTTACAGAAACAACTACAGAGGAAACTCAATCGTCAGGTTGACTCGCAGATTACAGCTGGAGGACGCAGTCGGTGCCGGGGAACTGAGGCAGGTTGAGCTGGTACTTTTTTTCCAGGCTGGGGGGCACAAAGCGCCCCCCCAGGAAGTGGTAGCGCCCCCTGAACTGGGAGGCCGACTTCTTGGGGGCGGTCAGAGAGATGAGCATGTCGGGCTGGAGCCCGTCTGAGCTGCCCTGCTCCACGTCCCACCCTGAAAGGGGCAGAGCAGAGGTCAAAGGTCAGGCTACAGCCCTGTAGAAGTCAGCTTTTTGCTCCCCCCACCCTAAAAGACCAGGGCAGAGGTCAAAGGTCAGGCTACAGCCCCCAGTAATTCAGCTTTCTGCTCCCCCACCCGGCTGGAAGCAAAGCAGAGGTTAACTCATTGGCTGCCAAAGACGTCTATAGACGTCTTTTATGTTTTTCAACGAGAGTGGCTTGGGGAACGATCTGCTAAAGCTTGTCCGTAAATATCTGCTTCTAGACAGAGTATGTAGTAACAAATTGACCCTCTAAGTGGCAGTGCCACTTTTGATGGGAGATGAGCATAGATTGTAGGCAAATAAGAAAAACGTAACGGTTCGCTATGAGAGAATGTCGCCGGTGAGACGCAAGTCGAGGAAGAACGGAATAAGGTAGAAACAATTTTTTTTAAAAGAAAAGAGTCTACCCTTTCTTTTGGTGTGTTCGGTGTTTACATAGTCTTAGCACAAACTATTCTGTGGCTCTTGAAAAATCTGTCAAAATGCTCAAAAAACTCTGGCAGTATGGGACTCTCTGTTCTGAAAATGGCTGGCAGTCAATGAGTTAATGGTCAGGCAGGGGTCAAAGGTGAGGTTCCAGCCCCTCAGGAGGCGGCCCTCTGCTCCCAGAGGAGGACCCACCTGAGGGGATGTCGATGCTGGCGATGGGGACCGTGGTCTTCCTCAGCTCGTCCAGGATGGCGCCGAAAGGCTCCCGCACGGCGCCCGAGAAGCTGAAGCCAAAGATGGCGTCTATTACCAGGTTGTAGGCTTCATCGATGACGCCCGCCTGCACAGAGACACCAGCTGGGCTTAGAGGGCTGTTTTCTTTTCTTAGTCTCTTCCTTTTGCTCCGTTAAACCAGCTCTGACCTCACATTTCTGCCCCGTGAACACCCAGTCTGTTGTGTATCTTTAGGCCCTTTAGTGTGTGTGTTAGTCTGTAGGTTGTACAGATTGTGGTCTCTACAAAAGACAGTTGTGTTTAGATATTTAAGGCGTTTCCTGGTTGATTGCCTGTCATTTCTGCATCCAGCAGGCGCTTTTATCCAAAGCAACTGACAAGACAGGATTTAAGTTTCCATTATAACACCAGTCTGAGTCTGAAACCAGTCTGAATGTTACATCCTCTTAGAGGGAAGCTAAGTGTGGAACTGGAGTTGGAGCTGAATGGAAGCTGTGTGGGTCTAAGTCTCCATCTCAGACTAAACTAGACTAGACTCTGTTTCCTGGTTGAGTGGCTGGTGCCTGGTCTCTGGTCTGTCCCGTTACTGGGACAGACCCTTTGCTGTTCAGTGTCAGAAATCACCACCTCTGTGTGTCCAGAACTGACTCGGATTTTGACTTTCTGCCAAACCAGTTCTGGGAGCCGCTCAGTGTCCGACCTCTGGCATCTCGCTCAGGAAGGGGATGTCCATCTTCTGGCACTGGGTGGTCAGAGCCTGGAACAGCGGCTTGCTGGGCCTCTTCGGGTAGAGGATGGAGGGCTCGTAACCCTGAGCAGCACACAGAGGAACAGGGAGTCATTTCTGAGCAGTAGAGGAACTCTGTGTGTTCCTGTGATGGTAAGACTCTGCAGCCCAGAAGATGTTTAACACTAAAATACAATTATTATTGTTATAAATGATGTTTTCTGATATTCTGTTTGACTACAAAATTAATAAGTACTAAAGAGTATCATTACTTCTGATTAAGAAGTCAGATTCTGTTTATTTCCTGAACAGAAAAAAAAGTTTTAGTGGTTGAATGTTCTCAGAGAAGCTTTAGGGAGAAAAAACAGGAATCCTTGACAAAAAATGAACAGAATAAAGACACAAAGACACACAAAACCACTCAGAAGAGACTAATTGAAAAAACAGGCAAAATTTGACAAGGAAAACACAAAAAAATAACCCCAAAAACACATAAAATGAAGAAAAATAAATGTATCAGATACAAAACCACCAGAAAAAACAAAGAAAATGGAGGAGAACACATAAAACCCTCACAAAGGTGCCACAAAATGACACAAAGCAGCCTCTCCTGCAGAGCGTCTCACTCACAAAGAGCTTCAGGTGGCGGGCAGCGACCAGGCCGTCGCCGCCGTTGTTTCCAGGCCCACAGATGACCAGCAGAGCAGGTCTGGCCTTGAGCAGCGACGTGAGAGGATACGCCTGCAGGAAAAACGATAACAACAAGAGACGAAGAGCAGCTGGTAAAGAGAAGCTTCTCCTCCACACTTTGTGCTGTGATCTGACAAATATTTTAGAATGATGTGATTTTATCTAGATATTTCTATCAGCTCATTTATCACTTGACAAAAATCTGTCATTTATAATAAAAAACAAACATGTTTATGAATTATTTCAGAATTAATTAATTAATTAAATTCAGAAACATATATTTGTTTTTATAGTTTTTGGGATTTTTTTAAAAAATTGTGTTAATTCAGGAATTTCTCTAAAGACAGCTTCTTTTAACGCTTTTCTTCATGCTTTGAACATTCAAAATTGTCTCTAATGACTTGGAAACCTCTTTAGAATAATTTTGAGTTGGAAGTGCGGCAGCTTTCATCCAGGAGTCAGAAACTATTAATCTGTTCTATTTAAAAACTGCATGATGGTCTGAATCCACACTGTGGACTGGCAGGGAGGTCACGTGACGAAACCCCACATGGGTCAGGTGACCAAACGGCGGCCTCACCCGGGCCACGGCGGCGGCGCAGCTGAGGCCGGCGAGCTCCATCAGCTGCTCCACGCTGAAGCCGTACTCGCTGAAGAGCTCCTGGTCGATGCGCTGCGCCTCCTCCTGCCTGCAGAGACGCGCAGCTCAGTTTGTCGCCCCTGGACCCCCCCCGGCCCTCAGCCTCACCCCAGGTATCTTTTTTATTTTATTTTTTTATTTTTTTCCCTTGTCGTGTTTGGCATTATGGCAACAGAATTGTAATCTGAGTGCCATGCTGTGCCCGACACTTTTGCTTTGCCAAGGGAGGCCTGTCAGGGTGAGAACCCTCCCTTGATCATCCAATACTGCTTTATTATATATCTAGGATTTATTTTTGTTACATAAGTAATATGGCTAATGCCAAACATGACCGGGGAACAGGAAAGGGGAAAAAAGAAAGAGATTCCTAAAACAGGAAGAGAGGAGAGAAAAAAAGGAAAGAGAGACAACAAAACCATCCATCCAGCTGCTGTATCTCACCCCAGGTATTTGATGGCGTGCGCCATGGTGGACGCAGACCGGATGAGCGGGCACTCCCTCCGGTGGCGGTCAGCGGCGGTGGGCGGCGAGCACGTCCCCGTCTGAGCGAGGGCGGCTCGGGAAGTCACCAGGAAGCCGATCCCAACCAAAGCCCGAGCGCTCAACATCCAGATGTTTTCCCACCTGCTGGGGGGGGGGTAGAAGGAGGCTGTGGTTCATCAAGCTGCCTTCAGAAAACACATCGTTCTAATGTATTTAGTTAGTTATTTTCTTTTATTTATTTATTTATTTTCTTTTATTCATTCATTCTTTGTCTTTTTTTTATTCATTTATTTTCTTTCATTGATTCATTAATTTATTTGTTATTTTATTATGTATTCATGCATTTATTTTGTGTTAAAGACAGGCAATCTTTCTCAGATTTGGTTGGAGCCCATATTTTCTTGTAATGTAAGCCGAGGGGCCACAAAATTAAAAATAAGAAATGAGCTGAAGTGAGATGAACCTACTAGACTAGTGTGAGTTTAATCTCAGGGCTTTTAACGATTTTCTGGTATTTTCAAGCTGAAATGATCTGATTAACAATGAATAACATCTGCCTGTAGCCCTGTAATGACGAAAATTAAGATTTACTTGACTTTTAATCAGATTACTAGTTTATATTTCTGCTTGGATGCAATATTGATCAACTTACAAAGTGAGCTGGCCTGATATTACCATGCTACCACAATAAAATGTTTTTCAAAAGCTGTAAATGTAAACCAATTATTTTAAAAATCCAAAAAGAGTCCAAAAAAGAATTTAAATTATTTTTTGTTTAAAACAAACGAAGCAACAACAGTTGTCATTAGATAACTTAATTAGGTTATATAATGAAAAACAATCCCATCTGGAGGCCATCATTGATCAGGGTTGTTTACGTTTGGCAGCTTCCGTCTGCAGGCTACTAACAGCTACTAGCAAACAGCTACTACGTTTAAACTTTTATTGTCCCCCGAAAAACTCAGCTAAACGTTTGTCCTTTTGCACGACTTACAGTCACAGACGTGCAGATGAAGCTCTGAATGTCCAGCTGACCGAAATTTGCCGTTTACTTCCGGGTTAGGCAACCAGAGACCGGGTACGGAGAGCCACAAGGGTCAAAAGTCACCGATAGCAAGTTAAAAACAAGAGTTTTTAGTTAACATAATTAGATAACTTTTTTAAAATTATTGATAAGATGAAATCCCTAAAAGATTATGGAAAAAGTCTATGGTTAAATGGAAAATATATATATATTTTAATCCTTATTACTTTCTGTTACTGAAACAATAGAACTAAAGCAAAACAGTTATCAATCACACTTTTAAATGTCACATAAAGTAATGCTAATGTATCATAAACACGGTTTATGGAATAATTTATATTGTATGATAATTCAGAGATCTAAATCCATTCAGTTTCATAACAAGACAAAGTTTTCTGAAAAACATGTTTATTCATATTAGAAAAAAATAGAAAAAGGTTGTGTAAATTGGATGCATTGTCAATCTATTGTCAAATCAAATACAACACAAAATTATATAAAAGAAAACCAAGTTTAACTATTCGGAATAAAAAACTACAACCAATAACAGTTTTAAGTAAATATGTTGTAAGACTTTAACAATCTATGGCAGAAAGGTTTGTAAAATGGTCAGCTGTTCAAATAATTTCCTTTCAGGAGAACAGCTGATGTCGCTTATTTAAAAAAGCTTTAATCAATGCTTTATTAAAAATAGTTTATAATCATGCTATGTTTGTCATTTAAAAAGGTTTTTTATAAAGTTTTATTGCATACAGGATATCAAAAAATTGTAACTACATCAATGCACTGAAGAAAAGGCTGATAGTGATTAAATGTGTAAAATTTGAAGATGAATAAACTTTAATGTGGTTCCAGAACATCACATGATCGGGCAGCTTTCCAGTCTGGCTCCGGTCTGAAAGGAAAGCGATTGGGTTAGTTCTATGAAAACCAAAATTAAAATTAGTCAAATACCTCATTGTAACTCATTAATGTTACAGGCATGTTAAAATGAAAATTTAAACAACTTTATTCGTCAACGACATTTCAAATGTAACTTTAGGAGAAGATGAGATGAGATGCATATGATAAATTAGGTGAAATAAGATAGGTTAAAAGGATAAATGACACAATATAACTTAAAAAATTATCTTAACTAAAGATAATATATAAAAAATGCTACAAACAAAGCTGAATGGAGATTCTACTTGGTGGTAGCATCCTCAGTATGTTAATGTTTATTACTTTTATTAAGATAATATTGTCTAATATGGAAGGCCATTGAATCACAAAAAAAAAGACACATTAACCACTAAACTGCACAATAAACAAAGAGGTAAATTCCTTATTCTTTGAGAACACTTTAAAACTTTATTTATGATGTTTATTAACGACTGTGGCTTCGTTACGTTGTCATGTGACGTCGTTACCGTGGCAACAGCAGAGCAGCCGTGGCTAACAGGCATGATTGAGTTGTTGTTGTTATTGTTGCTATGCTAGCATGTCGTAATTAGGGACAAATATCCCAGAATGACGGGGTCACCTTGCGCGGGGTGCTGGCGCTGAACACGTAGGAGTGCGGCAGCAGGCCCTCGGAGAGGCCGCCGCTGCGGTAGGACCGGGAACCGGAGGACACGGAGCAGTTGCTGGACTTGTCCGACGGGAGTCCGCACGAGCCGCAGACCACAGTGCGGCTGCGCAGGTTGTACTCGCCGTCCCCGCACGTGCTGTGAGCCACCTGCTGAGGCCCACACATCTGGATTTGACCGGAACTCACAGAAACATCAGCTTTTCAAAGATGTCTTCATCAATTTGTATATTTGGATATATAATATAGGTTTACGACTTTAATTTCATAATTAATTAATTAAATGTTTTGAAGTACTTATCTATCAGGTCAAAAGTAATAACATAATTCAGTTTGTTTTCGAATTTCATCTGGTTTATTAATTTATTTTGTACAATAGAACAGTAGAAGTCAATTAAAACTATTCATAAAACCTATTCTAATTTAGAACATCTTACTGTCCTGTTTATATATATATTTTTAAAAATCAGAAAAAAATGTTTTGTTGTCTGCCTCATTCTGCATTAAAACTCACTTCAAAATGTTACACATTTAACTTAAAAGGTATGGTGGATGAATTTAAGGATGTATTAGGGTAATTGTAATTTATCGCATGTGAATTCTGAATCTAACTTTTCTCACCATGTCGTCATCTTCCTCTTCAAATTGTGTGCGGGTCACCTTCCTCATCGCCATTTCCTGTACAGAAAAGTGTTATTTGTTCATTTGAAGATGATGCTGATTTGGTCATGGATGATAAAAATACTTTAAGGGTCTCAAGCAGCAGAGGAACTCTGTGTGTTCTTGTAACACACACAAAGCTATTAGGAAGAGATATAAAATGACCAAAAACAGGCAAATTTGCCCAGAAAACCCACAAAATTTCCACAAAAAAACAAAACGAAGCCAAATAAACTAACAGAAAAAACACAATAAATGGAGAAAAACACTTATGGGGGTGGCTTTGGTACCTCCCCGGAGGCGCTGATCAGAGTGGTCTGCAGCAGGTCTCCGGTGCCCCAGGAGGGCTGGCTCTTCCACACCAGCTCTGAAGGAGGATTGTGGGTCCCACCGCCATTAGAGGCCCAAATCTGATGGAGGGGAAGCAGTAAAACATCAGAGGCATGCCAGCAGACCTGTGGCTGTGGCTGCGGATGGAGACTCTACTAACCGTGACCCTCTGACCGGCCTTTAAGGTGAACTTAGCCGGGAACTTGAATGAGATGGGGGGGCTGGATCCCGCCTGCCGCTTCAGCTGCCAGCCGGCCAAACTCTGGTCCTGCAGCAACATGGTGGGATGAGAGTTTTGTGCTGATTAGGGGAGGGCCTCCAAATAAATAAATATGCACAATAGTAGTAGGGGAGCCACTGCCAGCAGCAGGCCCCCCAGATTGCGTCTTATTCTTCTTCCATCACGATTTTTGGCATAGAATCTAGTCCCGCATGGTTCGACGGATCGGGCCCAAAATCGGCACGCGCGTCAAAAAAAGTGTCAGAATGTCAGTTGGTAGTCAGCTGTTCTGGTACCAGTACAGGCTCCCAGGCCCATTTTGAAGGCCCCAGCCCAAAAACAAAGGCTGTCTTATTTAGGGAAATTCGAGGTCAGCTGTGGCTGCGGGTCTGCACAGCTTCGTGCCGACCCGCAGCCACAGAAGAGCATAAATGCAAAAAGGATGTGTTACTGGGCAGAATAAAGCATTCACCGGACAAAATGTGGAAGCTCATTCGACCGTGACCAACCAAAACTCAATATGTCGGACCCTGTTATATTCATACATTTATTTATTTATATATTTATCTGCCCACTCCAGGTTCCTGGAGCGGGCAGCAAGTGGTCCCCCTTCAAAATTTCTTTCGAAATGTTCTAGTTCACCAGTGTTTTGCTGCTGCAGCGGAGCAGACTCCAGCCTCTCCTACCTCATCAGCCTTATTGCTCAGCCGGACATATTTCCCCTCCAGGTCCACCTCGTCCACGGTGACCCGACCACTGGCCGACGCCTGCTGGGTGATGCGAGTTCGGGCCACGGCGCCGCCGGCGAAGCTGGAGGCCTCGCTGTCGGTGTCGTTGGCCCGCCGCCTCTTAGTGCCAGAATGGACTGCAGAAGTGGAGGAACGACTTCCTGTGACTCTGGTTGGAGGCGGGCTAGGAGACAGACGCAGCCTGATGACAGAGGAAATACAGTTTAACAGATGTTCCACCTTCCAGAGGGAGGTCTGACCCTGGATAAGCAGCAGAGGAACTCCTTGTGTTCCTGTGATGCTAAATATCTGCAGCCCAAAAGATGTTTAACACTAAAACACAATTATTATTGTTATCAATGCATTTTCTAATATTCTATTTGACTAATTTTTTTTTTACTAAAAAACATCATTATTGCTGACCAAAAAGTCAGATTCTATTTATTTCCTGACCAGAAAAGAGAGTTTTAGTGGTTGAAGTTTCTTAGAAAAGCTCATTGAGTTGCTGAAATTGAAAGAGGAAAACAGGAAAAGTGGGTTTAAAATCCTGATGAGCTGAAAATGATGAAATTCGGACATTAAACTAACTAAAAAAG